ACAGGAAGAATATAAGTTTAAGATTACATAATCTCACAGAGAATCTGAAGTACATTTCATACTTACTTGTTTCATGAAGTCTGGCAAAATCCTTGGAGATAAAAGAATTTTGTACCAGTTAAAAAAAAAAAAAAATCTTCTTTGGGTACTTCTACTAAAGTTGAGTGTCATCTATCTAGCTTTATTGTAGAAGCCAAATAAAACATATTAAACAGTTCTGCAAAGTACTACTTTTTCTATTTTGCTAAAAGTTCAATTTTAAGCAAATCCAAAATAAATCACAACCCACTGAACCCATAAAAATCACACAAAAGCATACAATACTCAATATATAAACATATTTAGTTGTTTACAATCAAATAAACATAGCTGTATTTAATTGATCTCCCCATTTTCATTCACTGGTGACTATTATTCATGACCATTTGTACACATTTAATGCAAAACCCTACCTTTACTAGGAAGGTCACTGCTACCAGACATCAAAGCAATGTTAACGATACTTTTTTCATAAAATGAAAGATTATAAAGCTTGGTTGGCAGACAGTAATAGTGTAATCACATACAGTTCATGCAAGTTGTTCAATGATAACAAACCAAAGGAAAAGATATTTGTTGGCAGCTGTAGTAGTGCTCCAGATTCACCTGAAAATAAGGGGGTCCTATGGATGGGGAATGCAACCCTTATCATAGGGAGCACATACATGTATTCTCTTTAAAGTGCATTTTATAACAGATTTATGTGAAGATCTGGCTCTGAGGAAAAAAACAATGTGGGACTTACTATATAAAAGATGCTTTATGTAGATGCAGAATTCAGAAATAAATTAAGCGACCTATTTTTTTAACTTCTCTCTGTTCAGTGTTTACCTGATGAGAGTGTGCATATGATTTGGCAAGCTTTTTGGCACTTAAAAGCATTTTAAAATAATGCTGTCATTTTCATAACTGTTAAATCATTAGAATGATGACATTTTAGGTTTGCAGGGAAGTGAGCTTGGCAGTATTCTCATTTGCTTCCTTATAGCTAACCGCATTGTACAAAATCTCAGAAGAATCACTGCTCCCTCTTATTGTATCATGGGGGAGTAAACCACCTTAAATAAGAACTAACTGATGAATATTTACCCTTTCTATATAGCAAACCTTCTTATATTCAAATATATTTAAGATTATTTTTTCTTCTAAGTTTGGGAAGGTGCTAACCATTCAGTCAGGTTAACCTTCCCAACCTCAATGCTACTCTAATTTCTGCTGAAACAATGCCTGAGCCTAGAGCTGCAAGCTGCCTTTCACCAGGCTACAAGGCAGCTGAATGAGGATTTACTGTTCCACAAGCCCACACAATGCAGCACTAGAGGGATGCATTCTCAGTACACTGTTTCTGAACTTCCAGATTTTTGTGCTGGGTTAACTGTTGAATATCAAAGAAATGTTATAACTGTGACAGAACAAATTATTATCTAGAATGATGATAACTACAAACAGTGGTTACTATAAAGCAAATGTAATTCATTTGATGTGCTATTTGCAGAGGTGAGAAAAAAATCCATCTATTTCTCGTCAGAGTGAATGTTAAGTAGAGCACTGAAAGTACCTCCAAAGCAAATATTTCAATTTTATTAACCATAATAAATGAAGAGTGGAAAAGAAAGTTACATAAAACTTGCCAGGACATAGTTATTGAACAGTGCAATTTCTAATCTTGGCAATAAATGTAGGTCAAGGGAACTGGAAAAGCTAATTACTCTGTAAATTTTTAAACCTGTTTCTTCTCAAGGAAAAGACAACTGTTCCCTTGCATTTAAGCAGACTTCACCCAAAGCGTAACTACAGCTAGGTGGAAAGTTATTTTTTTCTGAATGCAGAGGGTTTTGAACTTCCTTTAAAGTATCTTTGCATTCTGCATTGTACACTCGCCTCTGGTTCACACTTGTACTCAAGGTATCATCAGTTACTTCACAATTACTACAGCTCTAGTGCAAAATCCAGAGACATGCCTCACAAAAACAAACAAACAAAAAACCCCACCTCTGAATAAAACAGACCTTTGGTACCACAATGTAGCAGTTGACTGCAGTAATACATCATATTCAATTGTAACTTGGCTCCCAGTATTCATACACCGCATTAACAAAATACAAAGCAAGGCCTCAGTTACAGAACTACTGTGAATATAAATGTGATCACATTGTAAATGTTAATTATTTACTGACGATTTGACTGCTTCACATACAGTTGTTGCTGTTGTATATAGGCAAAACACATGACAGACTTGTAGGAAGATCGAATAAAAATGGAAAAAAATACAAAAAACTTAAATATTCAAGCTTCCGGCTGATTCTAAAAACCAAGAGCCATTTAAGAATCACATCAAGGTACAAAAGAAAAAAAAAACAAAACATGCCACCAGTTCATTTTTTAAGATTCATCCATCATTACTTTTTAATACTTATCCATATTCAATGTTAGGTTTCTTCTATTTTGTAAAATAAAAGCCTAATTATAGGCATAAGCTGGAGTTTCACAAAAACAGAGCTCCAATGAATTTACATATCATTGGAATTGTTATCACATTTGAGATGTGGAAAACGTAACTATAGCCCACGTACTGACTGGCCCTCCCATGGAGCAATTTCTTCCGGCTCTTACCTCTGTGATACGTGACAAAGAAACTATCGAGTTTCACAACAGAGATAGGATTTGTGTGTTGTGTTCAGATTTGGCAGTCAAATACTTTATTTGGTTTTGGGGGTGGGAGGGGCAAGTTGTACAAAAGTGGAAAACCTAGCCTAAGCTCAGCTGATCTTTGGACACTGCTCTCGTTAAGTATAAATCCTACTTTTGAACTTCCTCCAATTACGTGAGAGGTGAAGCTTCTCAAAGAAAAAAAAAAAAAGATCATTCAGAAAAAGACATACTGAAGACTGAAAACATGCTTGTCTTGAAAGGTAAACCCTGAAACTGTAGCTCAAGGAACAATCCAGAGCAAAATGAGTTCTATCACATTATAAAAAGCAGACCAATGGCAAGACTGGTTTTGCTATGTGCATTACATGAATGCACATCTGTGCAGTTTGTAAAGATGTAGCCACAAAACTACTACGTAATTCGTAGCCCTTGAGTTTCATTACACCATACCACACTCTCTTTTCTGTATCATGGATGCAAAAACCAAAACCATGGTTTTATTCCTCAGCATTCTCAAAGGCTTCAGATCTCAACCCTTCAAAGTTTGAACTAAAAATTACAGCTCCTATTGGGTTTTGGTCCTTCCCTCACAAAGAAGGATTTATTCTGACTAGGGATCCATTAAATAAATACTAAAATTGTATATAGCCTGAGGCCTGACTGGTGACAGGTAGTGATAAACAAGACCTGCATCTGCACTGAAGGAGAAGAAACAGAAAAAATTTGCCAGTCCACTTGCTACATGGCAAAAGTGGCAGAAGACTTCTTAAAAAATATATATTTATACAAGTAATCAATGTGTAAAAGCAAACTAAATTTGGGATTTCCTAATCTTTGGGTATTTGACTTTACAGCTTTTTATACCTTTAACAATATAATCTATTCAGTATAATTGTGCTTTCCTTCCTTCAGCTTCCATGGTTTTCAGGCATGATCTAGCACTGACTCATTGCACTTCGTTCACATTCAGAAGGTCCAAATTTCATGAAGAACCAGAGTAACCTGTGATGAAAACCCATCTCCTCCCAATGCATGTCACAAAAGCATATGAAGTCTGACCTGTTACAGATCAACAAGGTTGCTTAAAATAATAATCTTAGAATGAAAAAAAAAAAAAAAAATAGGCGTTCTGAACAAGAAGAAACAAGTAGGATAACTTAAAGTACATTTGTTCTGCTCTAAAAGTACAAAGGATCCTACTTAATATCAGTCAGAATATGATGAAGGAAAAAGCTTATGAAAGAGTTTGGATGGGTGATTTCTACTTCTATAAGTATATAAATGCACGCTATGTTCCATCAGGCAGTATGACCAAGCAATCTGTCTTGCACATGCAGAAACTGCTTTAATGGCTACTTGCAGTTGACAGCAATCCAGGGGCAACAAACAGAGCAGAGTTTCCCTGTTTTGTTTATTGAGTGGGTTTTGGGGGATTCTTTTATGATAATGAAGACACCAGGGCTTTCACCCTACCAGGCGATAATAATAAAGGTATAGTGGACAGCAAACCCCTTCCTGGCCTGTTAGCAGGATTTATGTAGGCCTTTTGTCCATCCTCAGCTCCCAGATGTTACTTATATATTTATAAATAATAAATAAATAAGTAGTATAGGCTGCTGCTTTCCCAACCTGCATACACTAGTTTCTTCTAAAAACAAGTTATTTCAAAACCAGTGTAACTTACATTGTCAAAGCCACGCTGCTATTGTGGCACTTGCGCTGCGCGCATCCCTGCCCACCGCGCCGGGCAGCTGGAAGTCCCCGCCTCGCACACCTTCGCCGGGCTCCCAGCCATGGAGGCTGCCAGCGAGGCGGCATCCTAGCCCTGGCCGGAGAGCCGCGCCAGGCACCGGCACAGAGGAGCAGGAGCGGCGCCTGCGGCACCCCCGCACACCTTTGGGGCCTCTCCCGCCTCACCGCGACACCGGGTAGCACAAGCCCGTGGGGAACCACCACACCCATCACCTCATACACGCCCGGCTCGGCGGGACAACCGCGGCCGGTGGTACACTGAGGGCCGAACCCCCCAACACCAAGGCAGGCCGGTTCCTGCCCGCCCTAGGCGCTGTGAGAGCTGGCGAGGGAGGAACCAGCCTCACGCCAGGGCCCTCTGCCGCAGAAGCGGGTGGCGGAGCCCCACCGGTGACTAAGCACTCCGACCGCTTCCCCATGACCGGCCTTTCGCCCCGCTCCCCGGCCCCGCCCGCCGCCCTGGCCGGCCCGCCCGCTGCCGCGCCCGGCGCCTGCGCGGTGTGGCGCGGCGCGCGCGGGCGCAGGAATGTGTGTTACAGTTAAATAGTGGGCGCAGGGGCGGCCGCCGCGGCGGCTGAGAGGGGCGGCAGGGGAGCCTCCATGGCGAGGCGCGGCTCCCGGGGCGCTGGTACGGTGCTGCTTTGACAGAAGCTTGGCAGCTGGGACCGGTCTTACTCCTGCCCCACTCCTGAGCGGGGGGCCCGCGCCGGCGTCGCGGAGGCGCGGCAGCGCTCGGAGAGCGGAGCCGTGGCGGCGGCGGCAGCCGGGGACAGCCGGCGTGTCACCGCCTCTATGATGAAATTTAAGCCGAACCAGACGCGGACGTACGACCGGGAGGGCTACAAGAAGCGGGCGGCGTGTCTGTGCTTCCGCAGCGAGCGGGAGGACGAGGTGAGCCCGCCGCGCACGTGGGGGCGCGGAGACTGCCCGGCGCGGGTCGGGCGGTATTCCCGCTCCACCATCCCCCGCCGGTGCTGCCTGCCTTTGTCTGGCTGGGGGGCGCGGGCTCCTCCCGTGGGACACCCCCCAGCACACAGTCGCGCTAGAGCTCTCCCGCGAGCCGGGGTAGGGGGCGGCTGTGCGGCACCCCTGCTCGCTGGGCCGGGGGGCTGCGGCGTCCGTGCCGGGTCGAGCCGTACCGAGCCGGGCTGGCTGTGCAAAGCTGGCCGTGGGGCGGGGCGGGTGCGGCGGTTCCGCGGCTCGCTTCTCGCCCACCATCTTGGGGCGGCACGGCACGGTGTGGTGCGGTGCGGCGAGCGCGGGCCCACGTGCGCGGCGCCCTTCTTTGTGCGCGTCGGGCGGCGCCCCTCGGGCTGAGGGGCGGGAAGGTGGCACCAGTGCTCGGGGCGGGACCGGACACCGGCTGCGACTCCTGCGTTATCCTTTGTGTGCCCATAACGCGAACAACATAGGTTCCTATGTAATGGCGCAGTGAGGACAAGGCTGGTGCTGCCCCGAGGGCGAATCCCCCGCCGTGCTTTAGTAGGGGTTAAGAAAATCCCTGCGTTTAGAAAACCTCATTTTCCCACCAGGAGAGTGAAATGGTGCTTAAAAATACTTTGTTCAGGGGCGGGAGGGGGGTTGGCATTGCGGTTTCTGTTGTAGAGGCTAGCGCTCAGCCAGGGTTTTATGTTGCAGTAGAATCGGAGGTGGCAACAAAGTTGTCCTGTGTCTCTAGCCAAGGTCAATTGCTCTGGCCGTTTTCTGCAAACTTTGCTGATGTCTTCATTGCACAATGCGTTTACAGACTATCCCAGGCTGGAAACATGCTGTTTTGCGTTTTCATTTTGTTGTTTAATAGCTATAAAATAACTAAAATGGTTAGGGTTTGAGTTACATGCGCAAACACACACCCCATTTAGCTTCTTCCAGCAAATAGACAGTGTCTGTACCTGAGCTGCCAGTGTGGCAAACTTCTGTCAAACATCTGGTAAGCAATATAACGCAGCAGAGAGAGGCCTTGTCTCAAAACATGGGCCCTTGGGTTTAGGCAAAAAATGTTGTATGGTGTTCTGGTATATGCCATTCCCTTTCTGGTGTAAATACAATCTTGGAACCATGCTGATCATCTTTTCCGAAGAGTGCCCAGCAGGAATCTTGATAGTTTTTGCTATTGGTCTAGCTTTTCTTTGATTTCAGCAACACATTCAGTGTGCTTCTCCATTTATGTGTCTTAAGTAGATATTTTTGGATGCTATTCCAGTTTAAAATTCAAACACTTGAGACACTGTTACGGCTTTCTTGCACCAAACTGTAGTTGGAAGTTCATGGTTGGGGTCTCCTCTGTCAATAATTTTCATTCATTCTTCATTTCCTGCTGTGATTTCTTGTATTCTCTTTCACTCTTACATCCCAGTGAGACCACTGGCTGCTTCAAAAACTTGTTTGTGTGTAGGAGCACCCTCTGAGGCTGAGGATGGTGCTAGTAGCTTTGCTGGGCTGAGTAAGAACAGTGGATGCTGACACTTGTTATAGAGTCATAGAATAGTTAGGGTTGGAAAGGACCTCAAGATCATCTAGTTCCACCCCCCCGCCACGGTTCTGCCATGGTTCTAGTTCTCAACCCCCCTGCCAGCCTCACACTAAACCATCTCACCCAAGGCTCTGCCCAACCTGGCCTTGAACACTGCCAGGGATGGAGCATTCACAACCTCCCTGGGCAACCCATTCCAGTGCCTCACCACCCTTACAGTAAAGAACTTCTTCCTTATATCCGATCTAAACTTCCCCTGTTTAAGTTTGAACCCTCTTGCCCTGGAGCACTTTGTGGTGTTGTGGCAGAAGTACCTATATGTCTAGCATCAGGCTGGGCTTTGGCGTTGTGCAGGTAGGCACACTTGAGGATGAAATGAATGGGATAACACCAAGTCAGATTTGGGACATAGATTAAGGTGAGGAAGCAGTTCAAATCGTTTTCTGATAAGCTGTTTCCAGAAAAGCTGGGGCAATATCCTGAGCTTGCTTAGCTGTTTCCCAGGTGCTAGCTCCATCTATATCAATACAGAACCTATTCATCAGAAGTTTGATGCCTGACTACTGTTTGTGATTAGCTTGTAGCACCAGCCACATTCCCTGCGTGAGGCATGTTTCTGTTCTTAAAACCTGTTCTCTTAATAAGTTTCTGTGTTGGTCTACTTCAGACTCCATGTGAATGTCTTCAGTGTTTCGTTTCCAATTCTCTAGAGATTGTACCATTGATTTTCAGCTGACCTACATCTCCAGGGATCTTTTAAATGCAGGGAGTCCTCTGCTGTGAAGGAACACAAAGGGAGTATCTGGGTGACTGGAAGAAGAGGAGAACAGCAAACTCCTGTAGAAGCAAACTTTTTATTATTTGGAGATACTGTGTCTAAGACTCTCAACAGATCATGTTCTACTTTTCAGCCGAAGCTGATTATTTTCAATCTGGAGGAATAAGTATCTGCAGCAATCTGATACAAATCTTAGAATTAACCTGTCTTCCTACTTCATTCTGACTTTCTGAAAGGTCAGGCTGTATCTGGTTGTGCTTGTGCTTTAGATTTTTTTCCTCCTTTGCACTTGGCTTTCTGACATCTCTAGCAATTTCATCTGTAGCAGTCATTCCTTTCTTAGCATTTTTTTTTTATGGACTTGAAGTCTTAAAGCCTCATCTCCTAAAACCAGTTTTCTCTTACTCTGTCATGGCAGCTCTTTCATTTCCTTCAATTTGACAGCCATATTTTTTTAATGTGGGCAGAAGTTATGGTTGCTGTAGATGGAATCTCACTGTGTTGTTTAAAAGATTACTAATACTTCTCCAGCTGTACTAGAAGAAAACATTGTGACAGGAGGTGTCTTTATCATGAGTGTAAAGCTATCGTGTAGTCATCTTGTGATTAGTGGTGGTATTTAAGTCTCTACTTGTTCCCACCTTGTGAACTTTGAATTTGTACCAGGACTAGTGTCCTGGGCATTAGATTTGCAATATGTTCATCTTAAGTAACTGTGATCTTGTTCTGAAACTTCAGCATGAAATTTCCTGTTAATACCATGGCTTACAGACACTGCATCTCAATTTGGAGACTTACAAATTTCAGTTACAGCTTTCTGTGCTTGCAACCAATGAAAACTATGCCAGTCACTGAAACATTTAGTATCTCTATTGCTAATCATTATCTAGTGAAACCTGTACGTTGTGGATTCTTAGTTTGTTTCCTATCTCTGTTGTACTTATCGCTCTACCTTTATGGCCTTGTTGAAGCCAGTGTTACAGCTGAATTTTATGGACTGTGAAGCAACATGGAAAAGACTATAGTAACAAAGGATGGTTTTGGTAAAACCGTATTGTATTTCCATTTCTTTTCTGTTCACTTCTTTTTCTTAATTTGAAGCACAGGTGGGCTCTAGAATACCACAAGGCAAAATTCAGTCTGGTGGTCCCTGCAGACAGGTTGAAATACAGCCTTTGAAATCCTGTTCTGCAGCTATCGCACCCTGTCCAATTACACTTACCAGCAGTCTTTGCTGCCAGACTTAAAATTGTTGAGTCAGTTCTCTTGGGTGTTACGGTCTGGAAACTGGGCTTGCCTGCAGTCTTGCAACCTGTCAAAAGCTTCTGCTTTGTCTTGAGAGCTGGTGTTGCAGATGAAAGCATCTGCTTGTGAGATGACTGATGATTGTCCAGATGCACCACAGCAGAAATCGTCCCTTCCTTTTTCTTTATCTTCAGGTGACTCAACATAGGCTGATTTAATGCTGTGTAGCAAATTTTTGGTCTAGAATTAGTAGCCTTCATGCTACTGTAATATTGTATGATTTAAGCATAATAAAAATTCTTGGAGGAGGCCCAAATAGACAAGTAGGGTGGCCAACAGCTTTGGAATTTGGGTTTTGTTTTTTCTAGTGTTTTAGAAGATCTCTTAGACTATTATTATCAAAGTTGCTTGTTTTGGTCTCTGTATGTTGTGGCTTGGGCTGAAGAGAGAGCAAGCTAGCTGGGTAAGAGCTTAAGTGCTGGCTCTTTGTGTTCGTAATGGAAATGAAGCAGTAATTGCAGGCACTGTCTGTTTGGAAAAAGAATCTGGAAATGAAGCAGGAAAAATCCCATGAAAAAATGAAACAAGGCTGTGTGGCTTGAAATGTATATGGGGGGCTGCAGGCTCTTTCTTTGAACAAGCAGGAAACTGTTAGGTGTGTGCAAAAGCTGATGGTATTCAGCAGCCTGGGATGGGCTGGTGGACTTGTATATGAGGACATACAAGTCTCTCTTGAGCAACTAGATGTGGATGGAAGCTTTAGGATAAACCTACAGGAGAACCTCCATCAGTCTGTGAGGAGTAACTGCTTCTCTGGGTTGGAATTGCTTATGCATTCTGCAGAAACTGGTTTTATGTAAAAAGCTGCCCTCCTAGGGTCTGGGCAGAGGTTAGACAAGGAAATTCCTGCCTCTCAAAGCAGAGAATGAGGCAGGCCTTTAAAGCAGGAAAAGCAAATAGTAATAAACATATTTGTATTCATTTGGGTAACTAAAACAACTTTAAAAGCTAGTTTAATTTTTCTTCCGTCAACTACATATTGTACCAGTAAATGAGCAGTTCTTTTTAAATACCCTGAATATAAAACTTGAGTGTGCCCTAATGATTTTGCAGTTGAATATAGCATTGAAAGCTCTACTTTAGTGTTCAGCCAGCAGCTGCTACTGGCAGATCTAACAAAATAGTTTCATACACAAAAAGAAGTCTTGAAGTTTTTCGGTTTTTAATTTTGTCATTTTTGTTGTTGCACAACAAGCCTCATACAAAAGTTGAAAATAGATGGGGGTTTTGTTACTATTGAGACAGTAGTGAGGGTAACTGTACTGCCATGTTTCTGAGAAATATGAATTTATAGTTTTTCCTGTAGCACGGCATACACTTGCATGAGAGTTGCTG